CTCCTCCTCCTCCTCCTCCTTCTACTCGTCCTCCACCTCCTTCTCCACCTCCTCCCTCCTCATCCCTCATCCTTCCTCCTCCTCAGGCTCCTCCCTGCTCCTCCTCCTCCTCCTCTTCCTCCCCCTCCGCCTCTTCTTCATCCTCCTCCTCCTCCTCCTCTTCCGCCTCCTCCTCCGCATCATTCATACATTGACGAGCAGTATAGTATGACATGACGTCGTCGTAAAGTACGTCACATGGTATTGCACTGTTTAGCTCGAGAACCTAATGTGATTGCATTAACCATAGGCTATGAACGTGCACTGTATCATACGAATTGCATGCATGGGTGGAACATCTAGAATGCTCTAATAGTATGAATACGTTGTCTATGATGTCACGCTAAATCGTAGCTTGAGTATGCATTCGCAGTGACATATCATACAAAACTGGTAGTATGGTATGCTGCTCCACTACGATATACTGTATATCATTACATCCTGCTGTGATAATGTATGTTACCATCCAACCGCTATACGTTAACATCGTAAACTACATTGACAAAGTGATACCATGCTGCCAAGCGATAAGCATTATACTGTATTACAACATGTTGGCGCCTGGTGTTATATCATCGTACACTAAACAAAGTGACTAATAGTGCGTAGTATGTACAAAGCTAGAACAGCATATTGACATTAATAAACTACGTGCTAGAACTTCCCAATGTGTGTTGCACTAAACTGAATGCTATAGTACACACTGATTCGTGTATGGTGCCACGCCATTGGGTGGTATATTCTAGTATTGTGTACGCTGCTGTAGTCCACAATGACATAAGAAGCTGTGTCCCGCTTCGTTACATTATAATTCACAAGTTCAAAATGTAGTAATTCAATTTGGTGTATGACATGTTGTGTTATGCTATAGTACACGAAATTAGTTTATGTTCGAGCGGCGAATCGTAGATGATAGTATGCGTGCAAGGCACATACATACAACATCTAAGTTTACATGGCAACTCTTTATATGTACTATGTATGCCCGACGCTGCGGGCTGGATGAGGGCCCACGTCTCCGACGCCCTCCGTCCCCCCGCTCCAGCCTGCACCTCGTCCTCGTCCTTCTCCTAATGCCCCCCCTCCTCGTCCTCGTCCTCGTCCTCGTCCCGTCCTCCCCCTCCTCCTGGTCCTCCTCCTCGTCCTCGTCCTCGTCCTCGTCGCCCTCCTCGTTCTCGTCCTCGTCCTCTTCGCGCGCGTCCTCGTCCTCCCCCCACGCGCCCTCTCCCCCACAGGGGGACGACGGGGCGGCGCGCGCGCGGCGGCGCAAACAGACGGGCGTCCGCCTCGGCCTTGGCCTGGCAGGGCGGGCGGGGGGCTGGACGCCGTGCGCGCGCGAAGACGACGCCGGTGCAGTCGCCGTCGACGCCGTCGTCGTGCTCGTGATCGCGTTTGGACGAGCGTTTTCCAAGACTCGCCAAGGAACTGCTCGAACATGGCCTGGACCGGCTTAAATCAGGCGAGCAACAAAAATGCTTCGGACGTTTGCGAGCGGGCACTTTGCGAGTAATCGCACGCGCTCGGTGAGCGTTCGTCTCCCCAGGCCCCCTCGCGTCTTTAGGCATCTCACGCCAGAACATGTGTGCTGCAACTTTCGGTTTCTGGGGGCCGTCGCCAGGCTCCAGGGCCGTCAAAGGCACGGCGGAGGATGAGAAGCTGGTCCCATGGCGTGGACCGAGACTTCCAGGGTCCCTGCACTGCGTCATCAATGACGACGTTCGTGGTCTGGGCTCGTCGTCGTCGCCGCCGAGGGGTGGGAATCGGCAGACCTCCCGCTGGATGTTGAGCCTCGGCTTCGAACCTGCGGGGGGCCCGCTGCGAGCCTGCGGGGCTCTTCCAGCAGTCCGCCCTCGGCCAGAGGCTCCCGTCGAGAAGACTCCCAGGCGGTCTCCAGGGGGGGCCCGCCGGCCCGTCTGAGATGGCTCTCGGTCGGCGGGCGAGGACGGAGGGTCAGTCGGCGGCGGGCCAGAAGGCTCGGAAGGCGCCTGGCCTGCGGAGAAGTCTCCCGTGAGCCGTCTCCGAAGACGCAAGAAGAAGCTTCTCAGAGGGCGCGTGGGGCTTGTGAGGAGTCCCGCCGCCTTCTGAGAAGCCCCCCTCCTTCTCACTTCTCCCCCCGCTCGCCGCCGAGTTCGTCGTCGTCGTCGTCGTCGTCGTCGTCGTCGTCGTCCTCGTCGTCGTCGTCGTCGTCGTCGTCGTCGTCGTCGTCGTCGTCGTCGTCGTCGTCGTCGTCAGGCAGATCGGCGCGCCCTCGCGCAGGGCTGTTCGAGGTCGTCTGAACGTTGGGCCGTCCGGAGGCCTCAGGATGGCCCCAAGTGGCCCGCGGGGCAATCACATCGGGACCCGGGTCTGGGGCACCCGAGGTGGCCCTTTGGGGGCCTCCCGTGCCGCTCCCAGCATCGGTCTGGCCTGCGCCCCCCCCCCTCGTTTCGCGTCGCCCCCCTTGGCCACGGCAGCTCGCCCCGGGAGTCAGGTGCGGGCGGGCTGCTGGGGCCCACGCGAGGCGCCCAGAGCGGTAGCCTCTCGCGAGGTCTGCACGATCACGAGCCCGAAGCGAAGCGCACGCCGGATCCGCGCGCGCGACCCGCGCGGGCGCCCAGCAGGGCGTGGCGGTGGAGGCAGTAGCCTCGATGGGCAGGAGCGTGGGGGGGGGAGGGGCAGGGAGGGAGGGAGGGGGGCGGCAGGGAGGGGAAGGGGAAAGGGGGGAGGAGAAGGGGGGAGCGGAAGGAAGAGGGAGGGGGGAGGGAGGCTTGGGGGGAGGGAGGGAGGGGAGGCGTGTCGCGGGGGCCGCCGCCGCGACACGCTGAACAACAGCTCCTCGCCGCATCGCCTCCAGACTGGCGAGGTGTCTGACGAGCGGGCGACAATGGGCTGCACGCAAGCGTGACCCTGGTAAAACGGGACGCACCAGAGGTCACTCCGGCGAGTGGTTACTCTTGCGCGCAACTGGGACAGGCCCTGAGGCTCGGTCATGCCCGACGACCCGCCGCGCGCATGTGCTCCAGCCTGGAGGGAAGAGCAGGCAACCTCAGGAGCGAGCCTCAGAGAGGATTGAAGGGACCCCTCTAACTTCTGCTGCTCCTCCTCCTCCGAGGGCTGGATGGATGAGAATGGCGAGGGGGAAAGGGACGAATAAGGTGAGGGGGGGAAGCGAGGAAGAGGGAGGGGTAGAAGGTGGAATAGAAGAAGACGGAGATGCACAGGAAACGTATAGGGAGAGCGGGTTTCGGAAATGGGCAATCGAAGAGGCAGGGGACTGGATAGGAAACGTAGGGGGGGGTGAGGGACAATGGGATTGGGGAGGGGTGGGAAGGAGATGGGGAGGAGTCGGAGGGATGAGCGGAGGACATTGGAAGGGAGAGGGGCAGGCAAGGGTGAGGGAGCACGGAGATAGATGCACCCGTGCGAGCGAAACTACTACAGCTCGAGGGGAGAGGGGGGGGGCGCGGAGGATCTCGCACCATACCCAAGCCAGGTGCCGAGCGGGCTGGCTGGCGCAGGGGAAGCGGAGAAGGAGGACGGGGAGGCGGATAAAGACTCTCCTGCTGCTGATGCGCCTCCTCCTCCTCCTCCTCCTCCTCCTCCTCCTCCTCCTCGGTCCTCCTCCTCCTCCTCCTCCTCCTCCTCCTCCTCTCCTCTCCTCCTCGGTCCTCCTCCTCCTCCTCCTCCTCCTCCTCCTCCACAATTACTCAATATGAATACTACTCTCCCTCTTCCCCCGATGACGGCCTGAAAGTGTCCGACCAGACTTGTTAATTATCTCGAATGCAGAGGCGGGGACCTCGGTGAGGCCACGTCGCCATTGTGTCAGTAGGCTTCAGGACCCTTTTGCTCCCGATGACTCCCTGCAGGACTGCGGAGGTCCCCAGATGTCGGCGTTGGTCCCGGGAGATCCCCAGGACGTCCCCGCGAGGAATCCGTAGGCCTCGAAGGCCGAGAGCATCGGACCGAGGGGGGGGGGGGCCGAGGCCCCCGACGTTCTGATTGCTTCACAGCGTAGGCCCCAGAGGTCTCTAACCACTCCCTGGGCCAGTTTTTCATCCTGGCTCGTTCGGTGACGATCCTTCGGGCCCGGCGAGGACCACCGGATGCCGAACATACGGCATTTACGGAGCAAGCGCCCACCTGTGAAAACACCGTCAATGATGCCCCCCGACATCCCGCATCTCAAAGTTGGCGGGCGACCGCGCCCGAAGTGAGCGCGAATTGTTGCGAAATAGTACACGCCCACTCCTGCGAGGGGCCCACCGCTTCCCCATCTGCCTTGGAATGTAAGGGCGGCGGGGGCGAGTTTCGATGTCTGGTTGCCTAGATCCGACACGGGCGTTTATTTCGCAACCAGCGGCCACAACGGCGTCGACTGCGGCGGCGACGGCGGCGAGCGCTGGCGGCGACGGCGACGACGACAACGCCGGCGGCAGCGGACCTTAAGCATGGCGCTAAGGGGTCTGGGGCGACGGCGCGGCTAGCGGTGGGCCTCGTGGAAGCGTGGCCGGCCGGCGTCCCCGAAGCACATCGACCTCGGGAGGGGGTGTTGGGCGTCGCTTCGTGGGAAGGCGATCGATGGGGGGGAAAGAGGCGCACTTCTTTCGGGCCCTAAAAGGGCTCTTTTCCGCAGCCCTCGCTGCCCCACCATCTTGCCATCGCTCGGACTCCCATTCCCGTGAATTGTTCGGCTTCGTGCGCATATATATATATATATATACATGTACATATATACACATATACATACATATATCTATACATATAAATATATACGCACGATGATGCAAGGTGCGCCTCACCAAAGAAAGAATGCACACGTCCGAACGACGCCAAGCCATTTCTCGCCCCCCGCTGCGCGACGCCCGAAGGGAAGAGGGCGGCGCACCGCCCGGCAGCCCACGGCGAGGGCGCGCCGGCATCCACGCGATGTGCAGAAGAGCAGGCGGCGGTGCGGCAGCTGTCTCGCGCCTGAGCGCCACCCTGCGACCCTTCGAGGCCTCTGGAGCGACGGTCCATCACAGGTCTTATGCGAGACGACGTAGCGTTCTTACGTGATGGCTTGCACGGGCCGCCCGCGCGGCACGACACATTCGAAGCCGTGGCGCTCACGTGCGACCTTACGCGGGCAGGGCAGCTGACGCGCCAATGTCGGCGCAGAACATGAAGCCCTCCGCCGGCCAAGCTGAAGAAAAGTCGAGGGTACACCCCTCTAGGAGGCACAAGCACATCAAACAACCACGAAGAGCATTTGGCTACGCTCCACGAGCCGACTTCGATACTGTATTTCGGTCCGGCCGCAGCTCGTAGGAGAGCTCTGCGGGCCTGGGGATGCTGGACACAATCATGCATCAGCTCGTCTGCCTCGTTCCAGCGTGCGCGTCTGACCCACGACGCGCTAGGGAGGCCGTAGCGTTAGGTCAGGCATGTCCTCCTACTGGCGGGCTTTGAGAGAAAATTTAACATAGCCAAAACAGATTCAACACAAGTCAAAACAATGTCAAGAACAATCGTTCCCTGACTATTTTGAAAATTGCAGCCCTCCAGGTGCAGGTGGTCTAGAGCGTTTCCTTTTCTAACCTCCTTCCTTTCCCTGCTCGGGAGGTTTACCTCCCCTCCCTCCCTGGGTCTGGACGGGCTCCCCCGCGAGGGGTTCGAGCGTCCAAAATGGCCCAAGATAGCCTCAAGAGGGCTTTGGCTAGCCCAAGATGGCCTCCAAGATCGCGCGAGATACCTCCAGACGGCTCAAGATAGCCACCAACGCGCATCCAAGAGGCCTCAAGACGGCCCCAAGACGGTTTCAAGTGCCAGCAGAACCCTCCAAGGACCCCCCCAAGAAGCAACATGTGTTCAAAAACTGAGGAAGGTCCATGTGTTCTGCCCTGCCGCTTGTTCCGTTTCCGATGGGCTCTTGAAGCGTCAAGATGGCCCCAATGATGGCCCAATATAGCCTCAAGAGATGCTCAAGCGGGCCCCAAGACGGCCCCAAGAGCGCTCAAGAACGTCCCGAGAACGGTCCAAGAGGACCCCAAGACGCCTCGCTTGGGCCTCCAAGAGGGGGGGTCCTGAATTTACGACCCCCCTCTTTTTGAGCGAAGGGGCCCGGCCCCAAGAGGCCTTCTTGACTCCCCAAAAGAGGCCCAAGAGGGCCCCAAGAGGGCCTCAAGAAAGCTGCAAGAGACCCCCAAGAGCCCCAAGAGGGTCCAAGAATGGAAAATCCGATTCTGCGGCGGGGTCTGCAGCGCCAAAAACGCTTACCACAGAGAGCACCCCAGCAAATCTCGCACTGGTTTCCATATCAAGCTTCTCTGCGGGAAGCTATGTTTGATCCTTGTTTCTCGTGGCCCAGGGTGGATGCAACCACCTGCGCTCGAGACGTTTTCCGCGAGGAGCACCACGTCGTATCTTGCAGCGATTTCCATCTGAAGCTTCAATGCGGGAAGCTATTTGTGGTCCTTGTTTTCTGAAAACGGACGCGCAACTGCATACTTCCAGCCGTGCCTGATTTACCAACTCCCCTGCTGATCGTTTTGGATGGGCTGGTGGGGAGTTTTTTTTCGTCGCGGCCTCTGGCGGGCGCGCCAGCAGCGTCAGAGGTCGGGCCGGCTACGCGCGAACCTAATTGCCTAGCGCGCGGGGGCTGACGGCTGAACCTGAGCTGCCTGATCTGCCTAAGCTGCCGGGCTGCGCGAAGTGGTGCCAGGAAGCGGGGCAGGGCCCGAAACCTTGCCGACGGGCGATGCAAACTGCAACCAGGACCAAGATCAGGGGGCAGTGCCGATGCACAAATTGAACCGGAGCTATACGCAGCCAAAATGGCGCGGCAAGGTCACAGACAGCGAAGCTGACAAGTGACCGCCGAGGGCGTGTAGGACTTGACGTAGGATCAACCACACCGACTTGACCATAGTGACCTCATTGCACTCACCTCTCCTGGGCCCCGAGCGCGTCGTCCGTCCTCGGCATGCCTCTGTTGGACGCCCGCGGGCCGCGAAAGGGGGGGGCGGGGGGGCTTCCGGGCGCCGCCGTGCAGCGTCACAGCCTTCGGAGAAGATGGCGGAGCCGTCTGATCGCACATCCTCGGCCACACGCGAGAGTGACCCTGGGTAAGAATGATCTTTGGTGCGCGGCTTTTTGAGGGCCGCGGGGGGGGGGGCGAGCAAACACGAGCGCGCAAGCCGCCACTACCGCATCGCGTTCGGCGATCGGGGGACCCCAGGGGGCCCGCACCAACGGTCCCTCTGGCGAGAGGTCACTCTCGCGTGTAGTCGACATCCTCGCTCCTGACGCCCTGGCTCCGACGTCCGGTGTTTGAGCCACCTGCACAAAAGCCCCAGCCTGGGAAAGTGCTTCACCACATTTTCGGAGTAGCCCGAATCCTTCTGGAAACGCAGAGTCCCCAATATGACCGCAAGGGGCACTCGGACGCGGTCGGGGCATCGGCGCACCCCGCACGCCACGCGGCCGAAATCTAAACGGCGGAGCGAAGCGAGCCGATCAAATTTTGTATAGATGTGCATGTGTGTGTGCATCTGCATAGGTGTACCTGTAATTGAATACCAGGTGGAGTTGGACCTGGACACGGCCAACTCTGCTCCATGCGGGTGGAGTTGGCCGCGACCGCGTGTCTACGTGCTCGACGCTGGCGCTGCTGGCAATTCCCAGCGTGGGGGGGCACGAGGGCCTCCGGCCCCTCCGCAGCAGCCAGGTCAGGCTGAGCAGAGGCGCGCGCCCCCCAGGACGCCGACCACGGCAGCCCGAAGTCGATACGTCAGGATCTGACGGCGGCTCCGGCCAGCGCCAATGCATGGGCAAGGAGCACGGTATCAATGACACGCCGCCACGGTATCAGCGCGCTTCTGTCCAATGAGGGCGTACCACGCTGACAGGTCGGACGAACGTGAAGATGTAAGCGCTGACGGGCTCCTCCCCAAATAGACACGCATGGCGGTTACTTCCGCATTGCAAAAAGGCGAGGGTCATCTTGTCCCTGACCAACGAAGCTTTCTCCCCCCCCCCCCCCTCCTTCTAGGGCTGCGGGGCTCCCGTGTAGAGCGACCGACGGGTCGCCTAGACAACCCCTGGGCGTCCCCCCCAGGCCCTGCAGACGGGCTGCTGGTGGTGAGGAGGAGGGCACCCAAGATCGAAAACAGGAGACACGTCGACCCCTATTATGATTAAGAAACCTCCCCCCGAAAAGCTGGCCTGGCATTTCTTAACCAACTTGCCGGAAAGCTGGCTCAATTTCTTAAGGGGATTGGTAGCCTCCAGTCCAGTTTCCAAAACAATGCATAATGTACGTTCCTGGCTCCAAAAGCTGGCCAAGAGTTTCCTAAAGAAATTTCTGAAAAGCTGGCCAAGCTTTCTTAACTGATCAGAGTGAAGGGGCCCGAACGGTCATTATTTGTCCCTGCGCGCGCGTAGCCGGATGGAGGGCACGGCCTCTGGGGGGTACACTTGGGGGCTACACTTCGGGGCTAAACATGGGGGCTACACTTGGGGGCTACACTTGGGGGCTACACATGGGGGCTACACATGGGGGCTACACATGGGGTCTACACTTGGAGGCTACACTTGGGGGCTACACTTGGGGGCTACACATGGGGGTTATGGGGGAACGGGGACAGGGACAACTCATCCGTAGTCATCTCTGCCAAAGAGGCTTCTTCCTGCACAATGGCACCCAAAGCGAAGGCTAAGGCGAAGGCTAAACCGAAAACTGACCGGATCAATCGCGTGCAGAATCTCCCCAGGAGTTCCCGAGGCCTCGCTGGACACAATGCAGGAAAACGGGCCAGCATCTTAGCCCGCCCTGGATCATTTCATGCCTGTCCTTGTTGCAGTGCGCCTGTACGAATCCCAGATGACTACAAGGCAACGTCATCCATTGGGTGCCCGATGCGGGTCCACACCCCTGGCGGCAACTGCCGGTATGATTGCGATTTCAAGACGAAGTCGCATTGCTGGCGACAACGTCCGGTGGTGCCTGCAGAGCGCGCTGCTGCCCAGGAAAAGGCGGTGCGAGATGTTCTTCTCGCCATGGAGGTGCAGATCCGGGCTGGCGAGGCCAGCGAAGCAGAGCTCTGGGGGCGCGTGCGCACCGAGGCAGCTTTGCGCGTCCCGCTGGCTGGAGACGTGGCGCAGGCTTACGTGGCGCATGTGCAAGCAGGCCCGTGATTCCTGCCAGATCCCTTGAAAAAGACAACCGACACCTTATGCTCGCCCTTCTTCCCCGCTTTGCGCCCTCTTCCTCCACCCTCGCCCTGCTGCTCCTTCTGCTTCCTCTGACATGGCGCGCCCGCGCGCAAGGCTTCGCCCGCCGCCTCCGCCGCCCCCTCACTCTTATCCGCGACTGCGGGGTGCTACGTAATTGTCTTAATCATGTCTTTGTCCCCGACTCCGTGCGCTTTTCGACTGGACCGAACATTTTGGGCCAACCTCGGGGATACATGTACGACACGGGGGCATCCGTCCTCGACAAGGGGGGTGCGAGCGAGTGCCCCCCCCCCCCCCCCCCCGGGGGCGTGCACCCCCGAGTTGCCACTGCTTTTCTGAGCGGCGTGATTTGTCGTGGACGAAGTCGGGGGGGCGGGGGCGAGAAATCTTCTGCGACATGTGCGGGTCCCGACGCGGTGCGCAGACCGTGCAGCCACCTCGAAATCCGAGGAGACCTCACTGCACTGGAGGCCTTCCTAGATGGGGTCGGAGCAGATGGGGTCGGAGAGGAACTCGCCGCATCGCCGATACATCGGCGATGTATCGGCGATGCATCGGTGATGCACCGGCGATGCATCGTCGACGTCGGCGATGCATCGGCAACGTCGACGTAATGCAAATCGGACCTCACATCGAGCCGCATCGGCGATGCATCGGCGATAAGGCTCGATCCTCCGACCCCACTTACTCCTACCCCATCTAGGAAGCCCAGACGCACGGATTTGGGCCCGTGGAGGCTCCTGGTCGCCTGGGACATCCTCGGAGAACGACCAACGTCCCAGACCCCGGCGGTCGCCGCGACAGGTACTGCACGGAAGCCCCCCGCCCCCCCAAAAAAAGCCGATGCTTCTGGGAGCACCTCAAAGCTTCCAAAGGAGATCAAAGACAGCGCACAGCTGCCCCAAACCACATCAATGCTCTGCATCTTTGAAGTTGCAAGATTTGAGCCCAGGATAGCTCGAAGGAAGCCCCCCCTTCTCCCACTCCATGCGCTCCTCCTGCCAGCAGCCCACACCTCCCCATTCTCCACTTCTCTCCCCATTCATCCCATCTTCCCCCTCTTCCGCCTCCTCGCGTTCCGCCCTTCATCCCTACCACTCACCTTCCTTGCCCCGCTCCTCATCCACCGCCTCCTCCTACGACTCATGATGGCAACCTGCGCCCAAAGAACTGCCGGGCCTCATCGGCTTGCCCAATGCTCTCATCACTCTTCATCCTCACCGTCATTATTCTCACCCGCCTCCTGCTCCTACTCCTCCCCTCCATATATCCCCTGCTCCTCCCCCTCTTCCTCCTCCTCCTCCTCCTCCTCCGCCTCCTCCTCCTCATCATCCTCATCATCATCCTTCTGCTCCTCCTGGTCCGCATCCTCCGTATCCTCCTCCTCCTCTCCCTCCACTCCCTCGTCCCCTTTCCTGCTTCCGCTCTCGATCCCCCTCCCCCCTTGCCCATTTTCCTCCGCTCCCCTTCGCCTCATGCCCAGCCCCGCTGCCCTCGCACCCCTCGGGGCGGACCCAGCCGTGGCGACGAGAGGCCTCTGGGAGGCCCCAGGAAGGATAGAAGAAGAACAAAAACACGCACCGCCTGGCCCTCCTCGGATGCCTGTTCGCGTTCCTCCCCGCGGCCTGTCGAGACCCCATGACCATGGACTTCGGATACAGTGAAGGCATTGCATAAGGAACCCTTGGATGAAGAATCCAGGGTTTCAAAGCCAGTGGAGCACAAATTGAGGCTTGGTCGTGGGTATGACCGCCGCCCTCATCAAATGAGGAATCCTGCAAAGTCTGAAGCCTCCTGGACACATTCCTTAAGCAACGCCCACACCGTACACCCAAACTCTGGGGCACCCGAGCAGTTGTGGGCCAGAAAGTTCTGCAGCCTCTACACTCTCTCGAGCTGGCATCTGCAGAGTCCCGACTTGTAATGCCTGGCTTCCAGGCCCGTGCCTAGACGACCACACTACTGCGGCATACGAATCACCTCTCGGAGATCTGCACGGAATTCATGTCGGGGATGGTCCATCTCCCTGGCGCGCGACGGCGTCGGAGGCGCCGCCAGGGGGGGTCCAGAACCGATCCAAGAAATCCGCACGGGCCTCCGAACGTTGATGCTTATGCAGGTTCTTCATGTTCGAGGCGGTAATGGCGTCATGATCCTTAGCACGCTTCTGGTGTCATGATGCGGCTGCTTCAGGGTGCGTTCAAGGACTTCTGGAGTATGTAGCGGCCCTCGTTTCCGTAGCCCGTCTGGGACCCAAGGGAATATAATATCCTGGAAACCTTGAGACAACGGGACACCCTACGGCGGGCAGCGTCTCGCCGCGATCGGCCTCATGGGGGCCCTCGCCGGGCCCCGGGGGCCGCGAACGAGAACGGGTCAGGACGAAGAAGCCGGTCCCGGGGAAGGTGTCGTGCCCTCCGGGGGTCCACGCCGTGAAATGAGCACGACGTCAGGGGTCCGGGGACCACGGCTCCCCCAGCAGTGGCCGGCCTGCCCCTCCTTCCTGCCCCGAGGCTGCTGCGCGGCCCTCCACACTTCTGCTCGCTGTGCGTACTGCTCTCCTCTCTCCCCCACTCCCCCCAGAGATGGCCCAGAGGTGTGTTTGTTCGGCTGGCCTTTCCTGTGAGTGCGTCTTTGCCGTCCAGGTCGTCTCCGGCCCTTCAAAATGATGCTGCCGCTGCAGAGTGGGCTGCATTTCAGGGTCGCTGCTGTGCGCCCGTCGTTCAGAACGGGACTCTCGCTCCAACGCGGGCCTCAATTCTGGATCCGAATCTTTCATCGTTGTCGACCCCCTCCTTTCCCCTTCTCCGCTTCCCACTGGTCCTCCTGATCCTCCCGCTCCTTCTAGTACAGCTCCAGTTGCTGCAGTTCGTCCTCGTCTTCCTTTGTCCTCAACCTCCTCGGTCTCTTCCAACTCATCGTCCTGCTCATCCGCCACCTCCTACTCCACTGTACACAACTCTCCCTTTACGATTGCGCATAAAACGGGGCCTTGTTTGGGATTCCATATCCGCGATGACACACGTCCGCGGATAGAGGAGGACCAGCGCCAGAGGAAGGAATGGGTGGGAAGGGAATGTCAGAGATGGCGCGAGCGCCCCTATCGTGCCCCGTCCCCCCTCTCTCGCTGCCTGCTGGCGCGGTGCTCTGGCGCGGAACGGGCCGCTGCCGAGGCGCCGGCATGAGCCCCGCGGAGGGGCCGTCCTGCCTGTTCGAGGTGAGCATGTTGAGGGCGTCCCGGTACCTCCTCAGCGTCACCTCGAGAGGGCGCCGAGCGTCCAGAGGAAGAGCAAGCTGAACAAACATGAACTTTCGGAGCTCCGCGTGGATTTCTTCATTTTGCGAAGGCCGTCGAGGTATTCGATTGGGTTTCGATTGGGGATAGACCAAGACACGCTCAAACCTATAGTGAGGAGGAATGGGGAAGGGCACGAAGATGAAGGCGATGTAGATATTGGTGGGGGTCGTCGGACCCAGCGGGCGGCTGCCGTTCGAGAGGGGACCCCCATCCCCGACACACACACACACACCAATAGCTTCCACAGAACTACGCGCCGAGAAATTTTAGGCTCGCACAGGTACAGTCAGCCCGTACCAGAAGGATGCGCGATAAGGATGCAAGGGCCTTGGACGCCCATTTCAAAGCTTCTCGAGCGGGGCGCGGCCAGCGAAAGTGGACAAGGATGGGCCGAAGGGGCCAGGATGCCAGGGGTACCCTCGGCCTCGGGAAGGGTGCCCATCCTCATGATGCGGGTTGCCTGTCTGGGTGCCGGCTGTCGGCTCGTGATCGTTGGGATGCCCGCGCGCGCCTCGGAGAGCCTGGAGGAGGGGGAACCGAAGAGGAGGGCCTGGCGCCCTCAGCGCCACCTCGAGGGAAGGTCTCATCTCTCTGGGGATCAAGGCACCTTCGGCAGGACACGCCCTCGTGAAAAAAACGAGCCTGGGCACCAGAGACTGGCGAGCGCAGGCCCGCAACAAGAAAAACTCGCGGCCGCGGCACCCGCTCGAGAGCCGAACAACGGTCCATCTTCGCTACAGTCGGGCCGCTGAAAAAAGGGAACGGAGGAGGGGGTGGAGGAGGAGGAGGAGGAGGGAGGGGGGAGGAGGAGGAGGACGAGGAGGAGAATTGGAGTAGGAGGAGGAGGAGGGGGTCCGTCTTGTCCGTCTGGCGGAGGGCGTGGGGGGTTCGGAACGGGCTGTCTGCCCGGTGGGATCAGGAACGACGCCCCATTCTGGCCCCAAAAGCGCCTGCGTGCACGAAGAGAGCAATAGGAACAACCACAAAATGACGGAAGGAACATCGAGCCCCTTTCGTGCTCAGGCTGTTCCTTATTTCAGCGTCTGTACTGTAATCGACTTGACAGGGTGGGGTTCTATCAACCTTTGAGAAGGCAAACACATCCACCACCATGCCGCTGGGCACGGAGTGGGCGTGTCCTCAGGTCCTTTGCCCAATCCCTTGGGCCTCAGCCCTCACTCCTGAAAAGTCTTTAGGGGGCCCGGAGCCCAAATTGCCAAATGTCCTGGGGTTTCCCGCGCGCCCCTTGGCCCCCGGCGCGGCTTCCCGCATGAATTGCTTGGGCCCAAGAGGGCCCCAAGACGGGCTAAGAGGGCCCCGTGAGTCCCCGAAGACGGTCCAAGAAGGCCCCGAGTCGCCGAAAGATGATCGCTCCAAGATGTTCAAGATGGCCCCCAGACGGCCCAAGAGACCTCTAAGACGCCCTAAGAGGCCTCCAAGGCCCGAATCATTGATTTCTGATAGATTCTGCAAGGTTTTTGGCGTTCTCGCTTTTTCGGCTGCCCGACGCTCCCAGACGCCCTAGAGGCTCCCAAGATCGCTCCAAGACGGGCCACACGGCGCCCACGAGGGCTCCAAAACGGCCCAGGAGGACCCCAAGACGGCCCAAGAGGCTCAAAGGATGGATCCAAGAAGGGGCCAGGACGGGGGACCGAACGGACATTTGCTGCCCTCGGCCCCGAGGGGTCCCCAGGAGGCCACAAGAGGTCTCAAAGAGGCCCTCAAGAGGCCCCAAGAGGCTCCCAAGGAGCCCCCAAGAAGCCCCAAGAGAAGCTCCCAAGACGCCACAAAACTACCGCCAAGAGGCCCCCGAAAGCGCTCCGAAGAGACCCCAAGCAGCATCCCTGGAAACTCTGTCTCGCAACCCAGGCACGGTGGCGGATGTGCCGAACTCAATTCGATATAATCCTATAATTTCGTTATGTTGCTCCCATCGCACTGAAAGACCACATCCCAAACATAATGTCGAACACTCAGAAAAACATCGAAACAATGTCGAACGAGTATCGCCTCCCAGAACCCGACCCGTGAAAACCATCAAATTTCGGTATGCTCTGGGTGCTCGGAATTCTTTCTGGTGGTCAAGGATCGAGAAGGTTGGAGCATCAAAGCACTTGCGGGGCTCCGCGCGGATTTGTTGCTCCTTCGGACGCCGCCGAGGCCTTCCGTCCGGGCTCTTTGGGGTGTTCGGGCGGGCTCGCGCCGCCGCGGCCGGGCGAGGTCTCGGGAGGCCGGCATGGACGGGCCCCTGGAGAGCAGTGTCAGCGGCGAGCCTGGGGGGGGGAGCAGTGTCAGCGGCAGAAAGCTTGGAAGTCCCCTGGCATTCTGAAAGTTGTTCTACGGTCAACCCGTATGATAAGGATGCGCAGTAAGGACGCGAGGGCCTTGGAGGGCAATGTTAACGTTTTTCGAACGAGGTCGCTGAGAATGGACCCAACGAGCAAGGATGCAAGGATACCCTTGGGAATGTTGCCCATCCTTGCTCTGCGGGTTGACTGTAAGCTTTGCTGGACCCTCCCCCCGACAAAAAACCTCTCGGGCGCCCAACCCGGGCGCGCAGGCCGCTGCTACCGCTTCGCGTTCCGCGATTGGGGGACCCAACTGGGGCCGCACCAAAGGTCACTCTGGCGAAAGGTCACTCTTACGTCTAGTCGATGCGAGGGGCACATGGGTGGGGCCCGGGGGCCCGGAGTAGAGCGGGAGGCGGAAGCTGAGGCACGGGGAAAGCGGAGGGAGCGGGACCCTGAAGGCAAGTGGTTACACTTTCTGGGGAGGCGACAGACAGACTCCTGCCACCAATGGGCCAGAGCAGCTGGCACACGCGCACGGCACGAACGACCCCGAGCACTCCGGAGTGCCTGTCGAAGACCTGAGGGCCAGCAGGGCTGAAGCAAACCCAGGCTTGCACACACCGCTCTGGAGTGCTCACCGACGGCCCCCCGACAGATGGGACCACGCCGGCCCTGTTACCCGACGTGAGGGAGCAGCTGGGCAACGGACTCGCTGCCGGCCGCCTCCGAGGATATGGTCGCAACGTTCAGCTGCCTGCCGTCCAAGACCTCCACGGGGACGTCGCCGTCGAACACCAGCGAGATCGCGGCGGGCCTGACCTCGACGGGGCCGGCGCTGGGGAGAGCCGCGGCCCCCAGCGGGTGCTTGCGCCCACAACGGCGGGGGAGGGGACCCCAGCACGGGTCCTGATAGTACGCGCCACCACCACCACGACACCCCCGTCCCTCTTCCAGCCTCCGCTTCCTCTCCTGCCCCCCTGGGAGAGGAAAAGGGGCGAGGGAGGTGTGGTGGTGGTGGTGGTGGTGAGTGTGGTTGGGCCCCGTGGCAGGGGGGAAAGGAGTTGCGGGGGGCGAACGGGTGGGCCGCCTCCCAGGAGAGAGAGAGAGAGAGAGAGAGAGACAAGGGCGGGGGAGAGGAAAGGGGTGAGGGAGGTGTGGTGGTGGTGTGTGTTGTTTGGCCCCGTGACATGGGGAACGAAGGGGGGGGGCGGGGGCGAACAGGTGGGCCGCCTCCCGGGAGAGAGAAAGGGGCGGGCCCTCGGGAGGAGGCGGGGGCAGCGTCGGACCAGGGACTCCTGGCAGAGTCGAGGACCTCGGCGACTCTGCAGGGACTGGGGTCAGGTCGGGCATGTCCTCCTTTCAACGGATTTTCGAAGGAAAGACAAGCGCTCGGATGCCCCCGCGGCTGCCCCGTGGTTTGCCGACGCGGCGGGCGCAGAGGCGCCACGGCGGAGCTGGCTGCAGAGCGCAGGGCCAGCAGTGAGAGCGTGCCGGCGAGGGGCGCCAGGGGCTCACCCACAGGGGCCCGCGCTGCGCGGGGGCCCACGGAGGTGGCATCCGTGGGCGGCGACAGCGGGGGAATGAGGGGCCCCAACACACGGCAGGAGGCAAACGATAGCAGCACCGCGCGCACACACACACAGACACAGACACGCACGCATACACACGCACACACACACACGCACACAACATACACACATAATCACGCACACGCACGCACGCACGCACGCACGCACGCACGCACGCACGCACGCACGCACGCACGCACGCACGCACGCACGCACGCACGCACGCACGCACGCACGCACACGCACGCACGCGCACGCACGCACGCACGCACGCACGCACGCACGCACGCACACACACACACACACACACACACACACACACACACACACACACACACACACACACACACACACACACACACACACACACACGCACGCACACGCACACACACACACGCACACACACAACCACACACACACGCACACAGACACACGTACAAACACTTACACACAAACACGCACACACTCACACTTACCCTTACACGCGCACACACTTGCATACACCTACTCTCCCACACACACACACCTACACGCATACACACATATAGACACACACACAACAGAAGACACACACGCCCCCCAAAAACGCATCCCGCTTCCCCCGCCGCCGTTCGCTTCGACAATGTGTCAGCGTAAGCTACCAAGCCACCGCGTCATACCCCTGATGAATAAGAAGAAAGCCCGACTTCGGCGAGATAGACTCAGTGCCAGCTTGGAACGTCCAAGAGCAGGCAGAGTGTGGATCACAGCGAGCCGCCAGCGCCGCCGCCTGCTCCTGGCACGTAGCATGAGGTGCCGCCGATGTCTCCACCATAATCGCCGCCACCCGCCTCGCTAGAGTGCAGCTCGATATTGTGGACCCGCCTCCAAAACCACCTGCTCAGGGATCGGTGCCAGGAATTTTTTACAGCGATACACAGCAACTGAGCAGCGAGCAAGAGAAGGAAACGAAGCAAATCGTGGGCGACGACGCAGAACATACGGTAGACCAAAGGCGCCGCCGCTTCCTCGCCCTCCACCTCCTCCTCCTTCACCGTGGCTGCCACTGATGCTTCCCCGGGCTGCCGGCCCGGCCTTCTGCACCACCGCGCTCGCCAGCGGCACGGCCTTGGACAGGGGCCGCAAGCTCTGGTCGAAGACGCCGAGGATGTCGCCTTCGGGGGGGAGGTGTTCCTCCACTTCGCCTTTCCCGTCGGGGTCATCGTCCTCTTCCTCCTCAATTATCCTCCTCCTCCTCCTCCTCCTCCTCCTCCTCCTCCTTCCTACCCCTCCCTCCTCCTGATCCTCCTCCGCTTGCTATTCCTCCTCCTCCTCTTCCTGGTATGTAGCCCCGCTCCAATGACAAGTCTGACCGGCAACGATTGCGTCCCTCCTCTTCCTCCTCCTTCTCCCCCTCTCCGGTATCCTCTTCCTGATGATCCTCTTCCCTATCCTCTTCTTTCTCTTATTATTCTTCTTCTTCTTCTCCTCTACCTCCTCCTTTTCCGCTTCCTGATCATCCTTCTCCCTCTGCTTCCTCTTCGTTCCTCCTTCTCCTGACCCCTGCCCTCTCCCCCCTCCTTCTCCTGCCCGAGGCGGCAGCACCGGCACCAGCAGCCAGCGACAGCAGGGGCGGAGGGACGACGACGAGGGCAAGGACGACAACGGGGAATGTGGCAAGGAGGGGGAGGAGAGGGAGGAGGGAGGAGGGAAGGGGGGGCAGGGTGACGTCTGGTGGAGTGCGAGAAAGGGGAGGGAGGATGAGGGGGGGGGGATGAGAGCGGGTGCAGGCAGGAGGAGGCGGAGGAGGACGGGGAGGCAGGGGAGGAGGAGGAAGTGGCTCTGTGGATTGGCCTGGGTCGGTCCGGTCCGAGGACCCAGATCCAAAGGATGAGGTGGCGGATGGCCAGGAGCCAGCTCGGCCGCCAGGTGGGCTCGACCCAGCGTCCACTCGGCAACCGAACGGGCCCGGCAGCCGACTGGTCTCGCAAGGCAACTCGCGGGCGCCGCCCTCTGGGTCTTGCCACTCCCCAGACATCCGACGATGTGTTGATTATTGTTTTAGCGCGGCTCTAGATGTCCCGACCCCTTCCCTGGGGCTGTCTCTACATGTCCTGGACCCGTTTTCCAGCGGGCAAAGAGGAGCAGAAAATAGACTATTCCTCGAGCGGGGCCTGCCTGCTCACTGTAGGGGTGTAGACCTCCCTACTTCCCTGGGACAACGCGTCCCCGACGGCGAGCCAGTTTTACTACATACAGTTCTGCGCCCGCCATTTGTTTGTGCCTCTGGGCCAGCTGAGGGCCCCCACAAGCCAGAAGCCGAGGAAAAACGCCAAGATTGAACATATCATATCATGTCGTTGGAGATATGGTTTTCAGGCCATAATTCGGGCCTCTGGCGGGAGCCATCCTGGCACCCCCGGACCGCTCTCGGCGAGGCGCAGCTGCTGGAGCGCATCCCGAGGCTGGAATAGTTTCAAGAACCGACTAGAAGAACGCCCGAAAATCTCGAACCTCGACCCTGCCAGGCGCGCGGGGCGCAGGGGGGTCCTCGCCGCGCGCGCTCGTGGGCCTCGCCGCCGCAGCCGCGCGGACGAGCCCGGCGCCGGCCTCAGGCGAGCCCGCCTGGCCGCTCCTCGGGGGCGTCCAAGAGGGGGGGGTCCAAGAGGGGGGGGGGGCTGAGGACGCAGTGAAAAAAGAGGCGCCGTGAAATCTGGGGAGTTATCATGGCCCCTGCCATGACATCTGCCCCCCCCCCCCCCCCAATCATCACCCCCCTCTTGACCGCCCCCGAACTCCCGTTGGCTCGCCCCCGAATCCGGTGGCTCGCGCGGGCCGCGCACGAACAGCCGCCGCAACAGGCCGCGGCGCCCGCCCCGCAGGCCCCGGCCCTGGCTGCTGGCAAACCTGGGAGGCCAAACTCAAACGTCGAGGAGCGATGTTTGTCGTTGTCTGGGGGGCTTCTTGTCGCCACGGAGGGATTCGCTTGCAGACTTTGCTCAGATCGCAACCCACGAGAAATCTGGGGGTCAACGTGTGACTACCAGGCCAAGACCCCTCGCGTCTTGAAAAGATAGAGGGTGCCAACGGAACATGAATTGTTCCGTTGGCCCCCTCCCGATGCATGTATTTGCAAAAGCATGCGAAAAAGGAGAGAGAGAGAGAGAGAGAAAGATATATAGAGAGAGAGAGAGACGGATATGACGCTGGCTGGAGCGGACGCGCAGTGCACTGTCCGACACAACATAGCGAGGGCGGGCGCGGACGCCTCCCTCAGGGAGCTCCGATCGCACCCAAGCCCACCCAAGGGATCTCGGCGACGATGCGGAAAACAAAATTAGCATGGACAGCGAAGCGCGGGGAGCACTCTGCAGGCAGGTGCTCCGCTCTCGCGCCCACTAGACCCCTTAAGACAGTGAGATGGGGCTCCCACGGGGCCTGACCCAGAGTCTCTGGGTCCCGAACATGGAGAGGACGAGGGGCAGGGACTCTCCTGGAGTCCGAGCGTCCGTCATCCGCGGGATGGTAGCCCGCCAAAAAACTGTCGTCGGTTTTGTTGGGCCCGTTCCGACAGGCGGTGCGAAAGGTCTTGCGACGGGCAATCAAGAAGCAGGTGACCAGCTGTACCCGTGGTAAAGTACCCGCAAGAGACACACAGGCACTCATGGCCCGAAGAGACCCAGAGGCGGTGACCCCGCGCGGCCCGAGCGGGAACGGGGCCCGTTTCAGGGAGGGGTTCGGCTGGGACGGAGGAGTCAGAAAGAGACGGCCTGCACCCCCTCCGATCCTGAGCATCCATCCCCCTGCGCTTCTCAAGCCGAAGTGCTGGTCCAGCACGGGCTGGGATGGGAGGCGGCTGCGCCTGGGCAGTGGCGTTAGCCTGCGCATCCCCAACACCATCCCATAAGGTCGCTATGGGCTCGAAGCTCACCCTCGGTCGAACCTGCCTCGCGGAGTCCTAGGAGAAGCTACGAGGACGAGCGAGAGAAGGCCTCTGGGCGAGAGGGGCAGAGGTAACCTCCCAAACTCGGACCTCCAGCGGCTCGGGCTGACCATTGGGCGGGGGCCGCGTCCGAGGGTGCACCGACCGAACGAAGTCAGGAGCGTGGGGGGGGGAGGCACATCAGCACCGACGGAGCCAGCAGCAGCATGCAAGGTCTGATCCCCATTGCCAGCCTGGACGCTCGTGGCGTCACCAGGAGGATCGGCATTGGGGGGAACCTGCCTGCTGCTGCTGCTGCTGGGGGCGCGCAGGCGAGCAGGGCAGGCAAGCAGAGCGAGACGTCGACGGTTCCCTTCATTCTTCGAGCGTTTCTTGCAATAACTGCAACGCCATATACTACGGCCCGATACCTGGGCGGAAACATGTCGAAGGTGGGCCGAAGTTTCCGTGGGTTCGCAAGGCGGCGGCCGGCGACGAAATCGAACACCACGAGGCCTCACGCGGGGCCTGGTATCGATACGCTGGCCGTCGAAAAACTGGGCCAAGGCCGTGACGGCCCACTTGAGGCGGCACACGTAATTCTTGTGGCCGAGCCTGCCTTGACATCTATCTCAGGGATGGCACGACGATCTTGGCCATTCCTGGCAGCGAGGTCAGCCCACCGATTCCCAACGGCATCGGCGCGCTGCCGTCGCTGGTGGCCTCGGACCAGGGTAACTCTCACATCAGTCCTTAGCTCGCCCAGGTCCTGTAGCTTCGCCCATATGCGATCCCACAAATCCACATTAAGGCGCCTCGGGGCGCAACACCATCGGGCATCCAGGGCCAGGCAATCGACGAGGCCTGTGACATCGGCGCGCACACATATCGGAGGAATGTACACCAGAAGGACCTACAGGGAAGCGTATAGCTCGGCCCTGGGCGAGGACTGTACAGGGCCTGGGAGTGCCCCAAAAAATGCTCGCGACGCCTCAGGCCAGTACCACATCCTCTGACAAGCTCCGTCTGTGTATACATCACCTGTGATGCCGTGTGGGCCCCCCCATTGCATGTGACACCACCCAGTGTTGTCACGAACCGTGACAGGTGGGAAGCACGAGCGACCGACAAGACAGTGAGACCATAACATAGAGTCAAAAGATTTTGTCGGGAAGCCGCCCACGCATATAGCATTCATGCGCAGGTCTCATGTCCTGGCAAGATGCGGGCAGCCCCACAAAATGTGGCATGGGTCGCACGACTGGTGTCCGCACTTAGGGCAGGCGCTCTTGCCTCGATAGCCACATGCAGCCAGGCGAGCGGGCGTCCAGAAGCCGCCGCCTATCAACGCTCGAAGGAGCCCTGCATCCTTGTGGTTGGGAGCCCGAAATGTCCGACGAGGTTCGATCTGATCCAACGGTTCTCCAGTAACACAACCAGGGGAAGTGCGATTGCCGTCGTCATCGCCACAGTCGGGGGAGTCGGACAGAGGTGAGTCGGAGACCTCGACTTGAGTAAGTATACGAAGTGCGGGCTCCATCCAATAACCTGTGGGTTCTCGTGGTACCTGCACATTACCAGGTAGCGGAGCCCTCTGGGCCCCCCGTTCCCATAGCCGTCGGACACCAGCTTCCCGAGCAAGTTGTGTGGTAGTGGACGGAGCATCCTCCCTAAGATTTAGAACCACCCCAAGATAAGTCCTCCAATGGTGCTGCTGACAGTTGCCCATTGGAGTTCCTTGAGGGTCATGGGGGTGGTCCCCTGCGGGCCCGGCAATGTTCCCCCAGAGGTGTTTGGCATGATACACCGTCTGAATCAGACGAGCCCAGGCGGCCTGGAACACTGACTGGGGCACCATGGGGTCCCGTAGGAGCAAGGCCCACTGAAATAGGGGAGCAGCCCAAGCTTCGACGTGTGGGTCGGTGGTGGGTGAACCCTGTAAGCACGCCGTGAGCCAGCAAAAGGTGCTAGCTCCAGGGGCATGCCATACTCCTCGGTGGGTGGCGCGCATCTGCTCCACAAGCCTGGGCGGCGCACCGTGGACTCCCAGCCCGTGCGTCAAAGCTGGCCGAAGCGCCTGCTTATGAAACTTGCTGAGGAAAGGCCCCGCCGTGCGCAGGGCTTGGAAACGTGGCCTCCTTCTGGCAACACCCCTGGCCTTCTGACGGATCTTCGTGTACTTGATAGGCCCCCCCGGGACTTCAATCCCCAGGACGTCAGGGGCCGAAACAGAAGTATAACCAAGATCCCGAAGGTGATGAGCCACCCACTGGCCCAACATGGGCACAGAGCTCGTGAGTTTCATCTAGTGCGCCGCGGGCGGGAGACCTAGATGGAGGAGGAGGAGCAGGAGGAGTAGGAGGAGAAGGGTGAAGGAACATGGGTGAGCACAAAGCGGAGGACGGGGAGGGAGAGAAGGAGGAAGAGGGAGGAGGAGGGGGAGGAGGTGGAGGAGGAGGAGGAGGAGGTTGTGGTGGAGGAGAAGGAGGAGCAGGCGGAGCAGGAGGAGCAGGAGGAGGAGGAGGAGCAGGAGGAAGGGGAATGGATGAGCAGAAGGCGGAGGAGGAGGAGGAGGAGGAGGAGGAGGAGGAGGAGGAGGAGGAGGAGGAGGAGGAGAGAGGGGAAGGGAGGAGGAGACAGGAGGAGGAGGAGAAGGACGACCACGACGACGACGAGAATCCGTATTAGCTCTGGCACGAGCTCCGCCCTCGCGCGTGCGGCGGATGCCTCAGGCGAGGCAACGAACGGTCCTCGCCCCCCGCCTTTTGCTCCTGGCGCTTGCCGCGCTGGGTGGGTGGCGGGTTGCGCCTTCAAAGTGTCGTCGCGGTCGTCGTCGTCGTCGTCGTCGTCGTCGTCAGCTGCATAAGCTGTGGCCGTACACGTCCAAGCAGGAAGCCTACGCAACGGCGGAGCTTGACTGGGCGACGCAGCAGCTGGAGAAGGTGCAGCAGCAGCAGCAGCAGAGAGAGGAGCACCAAACGACGAAGACGACGACGACGACGACGACGACGATGACGACGACGAGAGGACGACCACTACGACGAGGCGCAGCAGGCCACCAAGAAGGCCGAGAACCAGCAGCACCAACAGCAGCGCCACAACGACAGAGACTCGAAATCGCAACGCAATGCATGTGCGCCTGGGTAGGCCAATTCTGGCGTGGGGGTGGCCCGCGCGCCATCCTGAGGCCAGAATTGGCGCGGACAGGCTCAATAGTAGTGTGAATAGAAAATAACGGCCCCAAAGGACTCCCGCTACAAAAACTACCTCTGCAAGTACTACAAGAGGGAACGGCGACTACTGCTCCTACGCGCACGGCGCACGGGAAAGGCATTCGTCGTCGTCGTCGTCGCTGCCGCCGTCGTCGTCGGAACAAGACGACCTGCGCGGCGACCAGCACCGGGGCAAGTCCAGCACCGACGCGAGTCCAGCACCGATGCCAGAAGGAACGCGCTCGGACAACTGCTCGCCAAGAGAGACCCGCTCGCTGGGGCGACGCAAAAAAATGTTCGCCGGCGCAACTGGAGCGTTGCCGCTGCGGCAGAGGAGCTTGCTGGCGCGACTGGAGAGCCGTTTGAGATCAACTGGCAGACACTCAAAGAGCCGTTTGAGATCGGCCCAAATCTTTGGCATTAGAGGGCAGAAAGCGACGGTGGCACGATGAAGAACATGATGGCATTTGCAGCGTCATGGAGTATCCACCCACAATTACTCGGCCTCCTCAACCGAAGAGATGTTTTGAATCGCAGAGGGATGGCATCAAAGACGTCTGGATAAGTGCTGGAGACGATGCGTCCGAGAGCAATTTCAATGCTTATGTTGCGCTACGAGGAACAAGACAGGATGGAAACAGTTGTGTGTTCGACTGCAAATAGAAAACAAGGTCCTTCATACGTCGAATGCCATTGGATATTTGGTACACGCACTAAGCAGCGGTTTGCTTGCCGCCGCGCCGAAGAGAAACCTAGATGCCAAACTTGCACACCATTTCAATTTTCATTGCGTTGCCATTGAGATCTCATTGCGCAGTTGGCCCACGTTCAAATACGCAGATGCGCACATTGGCCCGGGTGGATAACGTAAAGTCGGCAAAGCGAGCTGTTACTGTTGACGGCCGGTCAACATCTCAGATTGGTGGGACACCTTCTGAGCTATTCAGACATGACTTCAATTGTTGTGCGATTATGGATTCGAATGGTCTTTCCGGCCGCATAGATATACTAACTTACCAAAACAGACGTTGCTATATGAAGCGGGCAGCCCTGACAGAGTCAAGTGTGGTTGAAGAGCTGTGGTACGCACAGAGGTGGAAGGGACAGTGGGCCGCGAATGGAATTCTTCTTGATATACAATGCGTAGTAGCTTCAATGTTGAACAATAGTAATGCTGCCTCTGAAGTACCTCAAAGCACCTTGGTTGTTCTCCTCACTCCAGACGGGGAACGGCTAGAGGATTCGAGTTCGGCATGAACCAGTTTGAATATCAAGATGGCTGCTCGCCATCAAGTGTTGTCTCTCCTCCCTCTCCTCCTCGTTCTCGTCTTAAGCTGGCTGCCCGCTAGCATTTCCAAGGTAGCTGCTAGCTATCACATGCTTAGCTTCTCTGCAGGGAAAGCGCTTGTTCGCAAAAGCAGCACGATGAATATAGCAGAGCCTTTCTTTTGATCGTGCAGATTTCCGCGCTTTGCGCTCCCCTCCGCAGTCCCCGCGATGCTCATAGGATCTGTTGTAGATGCGGGTATTGCGGTGCTCACAAGATCTGTGGTAGAGAGATCCTTCTCCATGCCGCCACAAAAGAGATCCTGCTGAATTCCGCCACAAAGGAAATCCTTTTGAAATCGGTAGAGGCGCTGGAACCAGTATGTTTTCACAGAGGTCCAAAGATTTGCCAATGACATCCTTAGTTCCGCCTGTATTCTCACAGAAATCCAGAAAACGGTGGTTAAACACGTTGTTTTTTTCATGGCCAAGCACAGGGGTTCAGAGATTTGCGCGATTTTCATAATATTGGGTAATCTGTATATTAAAAAACATGTACAACCATATGTTGAATGTGTTTTCTTCTTTTCTTGTAAACAATGAGAGACAATAAAGGGAACCATGCGTTTCCACTCAAAGTTTCATACATGTATGAGTTTTGTTCAAAACCTCTTGGTAACACAAGGTTTCCTTTACGTATTTTTCTGGCATCCAGCGAAACCTTGCGTTTTCACATAGATCTTCATACATGTTTGGGTGTTGTTCAAAGCCGCTGTGAACACACAAGGTTGCCTTTGACTGTTTGCAAACATGTTTCCAAATGTTTTTAATTAAAAATATTACCCAATAGAATGAACATCTCGGAATCTCTGTGCCGGGCAATGGACAAAAACAATGGTTTTACTTAACATTTCTGAATCTCTGTGAATACATTATGTTTCCACCCCCTCTATCAATTTCAAAAGGATTTACTTTTTGGCGGAATGCAAATGGATTCCCCCTGTGGCGAAATTCAAAAGGATATTTCTTTAATGACAAAATACATAAGGAATTCCATTTTACAGCAATATTTCTTTTGTGGCGGGATACATAAGAATTCATTTTGTGGCACAGTACAAAAGGATTTTTTTGTTTTGACGAGTACAACAATATTTCCTTTGTGGAAAATAAATGTATAAGGATGGGGCGCCGGAACCGCAGGGTTCCGTTGGGCGTCTCTATGCTTGAAAACATCGCGACGGAACATTTGTTGCTATTTTCGGCCTCTGGGGGCCCTCGCCGGGCCCCAAGAGCGACTCAGGATGAAAAGCAGGTGCCGAGGAATGGGTCGAGACCTCCAGGGGACCACGTTTTGAAAAAATCATCGCGTGATGCATCATCTTCCAGAGGTGCGCGCGGAGTTCTCGCGAGTCAATGTCGGACCCCCATCCGCACAGCCCCAGAGGCTCCTCACCAGCGCCGCCCCCCCCCCCTGGCGCGCTGGGGGGTGCGGGGCAAGGGGTTCCCAGACATGCAATGTCCGGATGTTTTCCTACGGGGCCCCTCCTCCTCCTCCTCCTCCTCCTCCTCCTCCTCCTCCTCCTCCTCCTCCTCCTCCTCCTCCTCCTCCTACTCCTCCCCCTCCTCCAGGTCAGGGAACTACGCATGATGCTTCATCTTCCAGAGGTGCGCGCGGAGTTCTCGCGAGTTCAATGTCGGACCCCCCTCCGCACAGCCCCAGAGGCTCCACCAACCAGCGCCGCCCCCCCCCGACGCGCTGGGGGAGGGGTGCGGGGCGAGGGGTCCCAGACATGCAATGTCCGGATGTTTTCCTACGGGGCCCCTCCTCCCCTCCCCGCCTCCCCTCCCTCCTCCTCCTCCCCTCCCTCCTCCCTCCTCCCCCTCCTCCTCCTCCTCCTCCTCCTCCTCCTCCTCCCCTCCTCCTCCTCCTCCTCCTCCTCCTCCTCCTCCTCCTCCGCCTCCTCTCTCAAATTCTTCTCCGGGAAAGGCTCTTCATGCTCTGTCGATGTTTGCGGACGGCCCCGGGATTTCCCCGGGCCTTGCGAGGGCCCCCAGGGGCCGAGAACAGCCAATTGAGCGTTTCTGCGCAGTTTTTCTCATGACCCGGAAGGGGGGTATCGTGAGCGCGGAACTCTGAAAGCTCGCGCCGCTTCGTTGGCCCTGAAGGGGCCTGCGGCAGAGGGCCTCCAAGTCTGGCGCCTCCCGGATCGCGCCCACGTGGCACCGGATGTCCTGCAGCACGGGGTGGCGCCCGGTGCGCTCCACCCACCGGTGCACGGCGCTTCGCTCGAACGCGTGCCCGCACAGCAGCGCGGGCCGCACGAACAGCTGCCCAGTGATGGGGCAGAGCAGGTCGGGAGGGTCGTCGTCCTCACGAGCAGCGGACACATCCGTATTCCAGTCGGCTGCGACCGATGGGGGGAAGTGAGAGGGAGAAGTCCGTCTCAGAAGGTTCGGAAGTCCCCAGGCCTTCTGAGAAGTTTTCTAAGCCTTCCCCGGAGACAACAAAAAACTTCTCGGAAGGCGCGAGGGCTTCTGAGAAGTCCCGCCACCTTCTTAGAAGGCCTTCTCCTTCTCACTTCCCCCCCGCGCTTGCTGCCGATACAGGGGCGCGATCCCGACGATACGCAGTCGCACGGAGAAGTTCCGCGCGGGGCATCCAAGAAGAAACGCCCTGTATCCGTTGGGTCGCGGCCCATAGGCCCGGCCCGCGAGGCCGCGGATGCGGACAATCTGTTTTTCGCCCACGGCGTCCTCCGCGGCGCTGTCCCACGACGCGTCGTCGTCGCCAGGGCCGCCGCAGCATCGCGCCAGCTGCCTTGCGGCGGCGGTGGCGAGCATCGGCACCAGGCGCCGGTCGCGCAGCTGGGCCTCGCTCACGAGGGCGTCCAGGGCCTGCGCCACCCGAGGAGTGGCCGACACGGCCGCCGCCAGCTGCAGCGCAGCGCCCACGACCGCGACCGCCGAGGCCAGGGCCCCACAGAAACGCGGGTCCTTCGAGGCCTCCGAAATGTGGTCCGAGTAGGTTGGCGAGCGAACAGCACACACCCATACCCATAGGGGGCCCGAAGGGAAGTGGACTGGCTACGGGTATGGGTGCGGGTTGTCGGGCCCCAAAGGAGGCTACCGTTCGAGCGGGGACCCCCATCCGACAACACGCACCCACGGCCCTCCCCATCCCCCCTATGGGTATGGGTGTGTGTTGTTCGCTCGCCACGTATTGTTTCGGGGGATCGCGATGCATCGCCGATGCGTCCACAGCCCTCCCCATCCCCCCTATGGGTATGGGTGTGTGTGTGTGTTGTTCGCTCGCCATAAACTGTTTCGGGGGAGCGCGCCGCATCGCCGATGCGTCGCCGACGCATCGACGACGCACCGAAGATGCACCGTCGACGCCGGTGACGCACCCGCGACGGCGGCGTTGAGAAAATCTGGCTTCACATCGAGCCGCATCGTTGATGCATGGGCGATGCGGCGCGATCCTCCGACCCCTTCGATTGACAACCTACCGGACCACCCAAACCTGACACGGAGACCCACATCTCAGGTTGGAGGGGGTACGGGCTTCATATGTTATTATTGCCACGTTCCCCGACGCCCCCCCCTCCCCAACTGGGAGAGGGGGCAAATTGGGCCCTTCGGGTTGGGCTGGGGTGCTTCGGTGGGTCGAGAATCCACTTTCAGGTCGGGCATGTCCTCCTAATTACAAGCAGATCTTGGACGTGAGCTAAACTATGGCCGCCAAACAAAGATTAAGACATAACGCAAACATCTGTTTTCAATCGTCCCCAAACTGATTCTCACTATGTCCGAATATTCCTCCTGCAAAGGGACGCACCCGCCTTCAATCTACTTGGGATCCCACTTGGGAAGCCTGGGTTGGTCCTGCTCTCGGCAGAGGCGGGGGGGCAAGGCCCGGGCCCCGAGCGCGCCGGCCGCCTGCGCCAGGCTGCGCCTGCAGAAGGCCGCCAGGTGGCCCATGGGTCGGCGGCAAGCGACGGGAGGAGGAGGAGGGGGAGGAGGGGGAGAAGGAGGAGGAGGGGGAGGAGGGGGGAGAAGGAGGAGGGGGAGGAGGAGGAGGAGGAGAGGAGGAGGAGGAGGAGGAGGAGGAGGAGGAGGAGGGGGAGGAGGGGGAGGAGGGAGGGGAGGGAGGGGGGGAGGAGGAGGAGGGAGGGGAGGAGGAGGAGGGAGGGGAGGAGGAGGGAGGGGAGGAGGAGGAGGGGGGGGGAGGAGCAGTCCCTCTCAGAAGGGGGCGGGACTTCTCAGGAGCCCTCGCGCCTTCTGAGAAATGTTTGATTGTCTTCGGGGAAGGCTCAGAAGACCTCTCAGGAGTCCTGGGACTTCCGAACCTTCTGAGGAGGCCCGCCCCTTCTCACGTCCCCCCTCGCTCGCTGCCGAATGGAGAAGCCCAGCGCCGTGGTCACGAGGTTTAGTTCCAGGCTGAGGCTGCTGAGCGGGTGGGGCCTCAGCCGCCTCGATATGATCAGCAATGGAAGGGCCTCTGATTCTTGGAAAACGGGCACAAATCAAGAGGCCCAACGCATCAAATGTTGTTTTTTGTTTCAGCAGGCGTATCAAACGGAAAAACGTCCAGACTGATTCTCCCTACTGCAAAGGCAGGGGCCTAAGTGAAGTTGCATCTTCAATGTGTTTCTCGTGTTCGGGGCTCATTGGCTCTCGATGGCGAAGCTCAACACGCAGCCCGTCGCGTGTTCACATGCAGCTCCACACGTAGATTGAAAACGTATGCCTTGCACGACGCGTGCGCCAAAACATGGGCCAACACCTCGAGCCCAAGCGCAGCGTGCTGACACGGATGTTCTGAATACGTTCTGAACACGGTACTCGTCTCCAGACGGGTGCAGCAGGGCAGCTGAGGGCGTGGCACCTCGAAGCGCCTGAAGGGGTGCGGCAGCTGGCCGGCGAACGAGTGGAGGACCAGCTCGAAGATGAGGCGGGCCGTGCAGAAGCTGGCCGCCAGGCCCACTTCGATGGGCAGCGGCTCCGAACCCGGGAACTTGGTCGGCGCCTTAGTGGGCACTGGAAGCGACAGGGCCGTTTTTGTTACCAATTCCGTTCTGCAGTTCTGTTTGCCGGTTCCTCCTCTGGTTCCAATTCAGGAGCAGCTTTTCTCCGCTTCCGGAGCCCATTCCCTTACCGTTTATCTTCTCAAGAATTTGTTCGGGAACGATGGAAAAAACGGCCCAACCGTGTCTGGGGCCCACTGAGGTCGGCGCCCGCACGATCACGTCCGTGATCTTCGTCGCCAGCGCGACCATCGGCCGCTGCATCAGCGTGACGATCTGCAGCGACACGTGGTACGTCTCGTGCAGCCGGGGGTCGTAGCGCACGAGCCGCCGCTGGGAGCGCCGCTCCGCCTCGAAGCTGTAGCACTGGCGGTGCTGCAGCAGCAGGCGCTGAGCCTCAGCCGCCCACGCCTCGTTGGGGCCACCCATCGCGCCGCGGTGCGGCAGTGCTGCCGCGCGTGGCACGCCTGTTTGAACTTAGTTGGCCAACGTTCAGATGGCGACCATCAAGAGAGCGACCGAGTGATGGTGGACCAACTGTTTCGTCGCCTGCGGGCAAGCTGAATGACTAGCGGTAGCAGTGTCGTGGATGTGCGGTGGTCGTACATGCGCCAGGCCACAGCAATGCATTTGGCAACGTCGAGTGCAGAATTTCGACGATCCAAGTTTCAGAGTGACTGCGGGGAAACACAAGGGCATCTGCTCAAAGCTTACAAGCACATGTCTTCAAGGTCCATCGCCAATGCGGGTTGGATGCTGGCAGTGCGACCCCGCTGTGAGGCTTCCCGATCCGAGAATTGCAATCACTTTCGAACTTCGCGTTCATGCTGGACGTGGAATGCCTCGCGTGAGAAGCTGCACGCGTGACGCCAAGAATGTCATGGCATTCCCGGCCTCACGCGTTAGCGGTTCAATCTATCTCACTGGCCAGTTGTTGCCGAATGCGCAAAGCTGCTCCATCTGTCTTGACATAAAAGCTGGAGCAACTTTGCGTATTCGGATTATTCACGTCTCCACGATGATTTCCACATGTCCTAGCGATCGTGGGTTCATGGTGTCCCGATGGTGCCCCGACGGTCTGAGGAGCGTGCCCCGATGTCTTGCCGGTCGCAGACTGCTGGCTTGCCAACCCACATGCGAATCAAATGCGAATCACATTTGCATGACAGATCGTACAAACGTGAGTCACATAGTTGAAGTTCTAAACTGCGTTCGAGTCAAATGTGACTTCGAATGAAAGCAAAGTGAAACTTCGGAGGAACATCCATTCAGCGCCACATCTGCATCGAATGCGATTCACATGGTAACCAATTTCCATGAGGTGTCCACCGTTGATCACATGTGCCAAGTGTGACTCGAATTTGCGCGGTGACCGACAATCACATGCAAGTCAAATGTCAACCAAGTGGTAATCTGTCGCGAACTCACTCACATGAATTGCTTTAAGGTGAAAATGATAATTATGCGACAGACCGACACCGATTCGGTAAACCAGGAGTGGATCAAGTGTGAGCCATGTCTGGGAAACTGTGGATCCCGATCGGTCACCTGTTCTCCTCATTGGCCGTTGGTGCTTCGAACAGATACCCGATGATATTGTGGCCCAGAGCTGGCAGCACAACTCCTTCGAGAAAGTCATTATTCCAAAGCTCGAGACGAAGCAGATCGCCTCCAAATCGATTGAAATCGCTTCTCTACTCTTGGCGAGCGTTGACACAACTCACGGCGATCTTGCGCTACGGTCGCGGTGCCAACGCTGGGCCATAACAGTTCCTACAGCGGCAAAGACACGTGCGCATGGGACAACGCCGGCGAGCCACACATGCACACTCCAGGCTCGCTCTCCGGTCCTACGAAACACTTACTCTGGGTTTCTTAATAAGCGTGTGGGGGTACCCCCCCGACGGGGGTCAACCTCACCTCGTCGTCGCGCCGCGACGGAGGTCGGAGCGCCTTCGGCGAGCGGTGGCTACCCGCGACGGGGGTCGATGTGGGGCTGTCGGCGGGGGTGACGCCCCCCCGACGCCTTTTGAGAAACACGGAGTATCCTCCACCCTCCCAGAGGTCTGACGCCTTGCTTCTGTCAGCGCGGAATCCAGGGCATGCGTTTCATCCCGACGTGTTCTTGGGCGGCTACGGGGCCCGCCGAGGGCCACGGGGCAGACCGAAGACGACGAAAAGCCTCCGTCTTGCTCTTGCTCCAGACGCTGGATGTCGGAGCTCTCGTCCCTCCTGCTCCAAGGGGCAGGCTTTAGGTCGGCCATGTCCTCCTACAAGCGGATTCTGGGAACGACAATGAGAGGATGACATCATAGAAGAACATATCTAAACATGGTGAAACAAATAATCGAACAATCGTCCCCGTACTATTTTTTGACTATTATTGAATCTTCCTCCTGTAGCGGGACATGCCCGACTTAACTCTGGTTCCAGACGTAGAATGCTTGGGCTCTCGTCCCTCCTGCTCCCAAGGGCAAGCTGGGCAAAACAGGGACGCGAAACCCGCTCACTTAGCCCCGATCCTTGGATGACGATTTGTTTCTGGTCGTGACCGCCGAGATCAATCGCTTCCGACGTTGCCGCAGATTTTGGTATCGGTCGCGACCGATCTGCTGCAAAATCGGTCGCGGCCGATTCTGTGGCATCGGTCGCGGTCGGTCTCGACCGACGTTTGGAGTGCCGAGCCGTAACCAGCCGAACTGAATCCGGGCCGAACCGAGCCGGCGTAACCGGTTTGTTTTCTTCCCACGACCCGAACCGAACCAATTTCAAGACTTGACGCCGACCCGGAGAAAACCCCCTCCCCGCAACAGAAGACTCAGGCGGGTTTGGGCGAAAAAATGACAAGGGTCAGAGCAATACTGCAAAATAGTCACAAATAGTCGAAAAATCGTCCCCAGACTATTTTTGACTATTTTTGGATATTCCCCCTCTGTAGGGGGACATCCCCGCAGCCGAAGACTGAACCCGAACGAACCAGACCGGAACCGAGGCCGCACAAAAGTGCGCCGGGTGGGCCTCGCAGGACACGCACTGCAAGACCCGGGGGGCCCCGTGGGCGCACCCGGGGCCCCCCTCCAGACGGGGGGGGGGGCGCACGGGGGGTTCGCACCAGGGGTGTGCGCACCAGGGGGGGGCGGCGCGCCAGGGGGTGCGCGCACGCGTGATTACTTGGGGGTGCGCGCCAGCGGGTGCGCACCGAGGGGCACGCATCCAGCCCTGATCATTGGATACTGGACTCTTCCAGTCGCGACCGACGAGAAGGGTCGCCACCGATGTTGCTTCAAATTTCGGTATCGGTCACGACCGTTTTGGAGTGTCGGTCGGTCGCTACCGATCGCGACCGACAAAAAATCGGGTATCCAATGATCTGGGCAGGAAGGGGTGTGGATCAGGGGGTGTGCACCGGGAAGTCCAGACGCGGGGGCGTGGACCGGGGGGGCACACCTGTTGGGGGTGCACGGGGGGTGCAGACTGGGAAGTGCGCACCCGGGGGTGCGCACACCCTAGGAGCAACGTCGAACTGGACCGAATTGGAAGCAACAAAAATGACGAACTTGACGGAACTGGACGGGGGGATCACATCGACGAACCGAAACGAACCGAACCAGACGGATGACGACACAAAATTAGAAAAGAACCGAACGGAACCAGAAACATTTCAGAACCTATAACCTTCTTGGATCGCGTTGCCGACCGCTGGGAGGAGCGAGATGTTCGTTTCCTTGTATGTTCTCCCCCCCGTGGCCAGCCGGTCCAACAAAAGCCAGATTAGCGAGGCCGCTGAGGAGAGATACCGCAAAACAGCGTTGATGGTGGTGCGCTGGGTGCGCTGCACGCCCGATACAAACAAATCCGCTGACCCTGTCGTTGTGTGTCGGTGCGTGTGTGTGTGTGTGTGTGTTTGTGTATGTTTGTGCGTGTGTGTTTGTGTGTGTGCGTGTGCGTGCGTGCGTGCGTGCGTGCGTGCGTGCGTGCGTATGTGTGTGTGGGGGGCTTGTATATTGGAGTCGTCGTCTCCGTCAGTCGTCGTCTCCGCCGTATCCTTTCCCTGCGCCCTCCTCCTCAAGCTTGTCAGCGAAAGAAAAGTCCAGCAATGTCGTAATCGAGTCGAAGGGAAGCGTTGGCCTGACGGGGCCATCATGAAAATGACGAGACCCAATCTGAAATTTGACGTAAGCTCCCGCTGCGAACATCCCACGACAACTCGACCGTCCAGAACGCGCTCGTCAAAAAGCGTCGGCTAACCCGAGTTCTGGCGTACTCGAGACTTACAGACAGACAGAGGCCCGACAGCGGCCTGAACGTGCACGCGCGCAACGGAGATTCAACGTTGTACCTCCGAGGGGGAGGAGTGGAGAGAGGAGGAGAGCGGGGGCGGTCCTCGGGCGTGAATGCAATACTCGACGAACGCGTCTTCGTTGCGTTCGCGCACGGTGGCATACCAACGAGATGCAATATGCAAAACATCACTTGAAAAATCCTTGAAGCCAGTCCTACCCATCCAGGGAGAACAATCATCGTGTTGGGATGAAGGGGTCGGGAGGATGAAGCACCCCCCAACCCGACAACTGTCTTCATGCCAATCTAAGGAGGGGGCAAATCCCACGGCGCTGGAGGCCCCCCTCAACGATTCACATCGGAAATCTCCTGGGCGGGGGCCCGCTGTGGTGTCAGACCTGCGGAGGCAGCACGGCCAAGGGCGGTGAAGGAGCCTCCCAGAGGAGACAAACGATGCGCAGAGCACAACGAGAGCCTCAACACCCTCGATCTTCGAGCGACCGACGGCTCCCCAGAACCCCAGCCCTCGATCCTCGAACGATCGAACGACTACGGTGACGATGACCCGCAACGTCAGCGACGACGACGACGACGACGACGACGACCACGACGTCGACCACGACGACCACGACCAGCGCGATCGCCGACGGCGACGACCACGGCCAGAGGCGACGACGACCAAGACCACGACGCCCGCGCCGGCTCGTGCGATCGCTCGGCCGGCCGGCGGCAGGGAGCGGCAGCCGCAGCGCCCCGCGGCCGCGGGCGGGGAGGCTGAGCAGGGGAGCCAGGCAGTCCCACAGGCCTAACACGAGATGCTCTTAGAACCCAAAGTGCTTCAAGAACAGAAGCGGAGTTCTCAGAACACAGACACCGACGTGTTGAAAGGAGACGGCCTCCGTCAGGAGTGTTCTGAGAACATCTCGTGCAGACCACCAAAGAGGTTCTTGGAACATTTTATGGGGGGCCGTCGGTTCCCAGGAGGAGGAGGAGGAGGAGGAGGAGGAGGAGGAGGAGGAGGAGGAGGAGGAGAAGGAGGAGGAGGAGGAGGAGGAGGAGGAGGAGGAGGAGGAGGAGGAGGAGGAGGCGGAGGAGGAGAGGAGGAGGAGGAGGCGGAGGAGGAGGAGGAGGAGGAGGAGGGGGGAGGAGGAGGAGGAGGAGAAGGAGGAGGAGGAGGACGAGGACGCTTCGTCAACGCTCGAGGGAGAGGGAGGCCCACAGGGGGACCCCTGGCAAGCCGGGCCTTGGGTGATGCGGTGCGCCGGCAGAGCTGCGCCGCCCGGCCTGGCGGCGCTGAGCGGCGCGCGGGGCGGCCGTCGCCACCGCCGCCGCTGCTGCGGTCAACGACGACAGTGGCAGGGAGGGAGGGAGGGAGGGAGGGAGGGAGAGAGGGGAGGAGGAGGAGGAGGAGGAGGAGGAGGAGGAGGAGGAGGAGGAGAGAGAGGAGGAGGAGGAGGATAAGGATAAGGATAAGGATAAGGATAAGGATAAGGATAAGGATGATGATGATGATGATGATGATGATGAGGAGGAGGAGGAGGAGGAGGAGGAGGAGGAGGAGGAGGAGGAGGAGAAGGAGCAGGGAGGAGGAGGAGGATGAAAAGGAGGATGTGGAGGAGGAGGAGGAGGAGCAGGAGGAGGAGGAGCAGGAAGAGGAGGAGGAGCAGGAGGAGGAGGAGACGGCGAGGGCAGCGGCGGCGATGGCGATGGCGACGACGTCGTCGGTCGTCGCCTTCGTCGAGGCCGTCGCCGTCGCCGTCGTCGATCGAGGGCCGAGGTGTGCGAGCGTCGGGGGGCATAGAGAGGCGGGGACGCGCGGGACGCCCCGGGAGGGGCGGAGGGAGCACGGGAGCGAGAGAGAAGGAGCGCCAGGGCAATCCCGGCGGCTGCCGACTCGACGACACGCCAGAGGGACCCTTGGCAAGGGTGACCTCTGGTGCGCGGCTTTCTGGGGAGCCGCGGGGGGACCAAACACGGGCGCGCAAGACGCCACTGCCGCATCGCGTTCGGCGCTTGGGGGACCCCGCTGGGTTCGCGCACAAAAGGTCACTCTCGCGAAGGGTCCCCCGAACGTGCAGTCGACGGACTGCTCGGGGTGGGGGTGGGGGAGGCGTTCCCAGCCTCTGGAGGCTACCCCGCTACCCCAGGACCACCAGCAACTGCCCAGGGCGCCAGCAAGATCCATGTCCATATCCTAGACAAGCGCGCTCCACGATTCGCAACGTACCTACTCGCAAATGGCCTACATCCGCCGCGGAGACTGTGCGACCCATTGCATCGAGGCAGGTATGAATTTGTCGGACGTTTGCGAGTAGGCACTGGGCGAGTAGTGGAGAGCGCTCGGTGATATCCGCTGTCTTGGATTTTCTGGGAAGGGGCGCAAAGAGACCGCCGCGCAGTGAATATGGATAAAGACTAGCATCTGCAGTAGGAGCTCGACCACAAGAAACTTTTCACAAGAAACCCACCCCAGGACGTCCATTGATGTTTGGTGTGGGAGCGTCACGCTTTCCATAACAAACCATCGAAACGCAAGAAACCCAGGGCGCCCTAGAGGCAAGCAGAGTGTTTCTTGGCATGGGTTTCCACTGTATCCACTGTGTCTTGGATGTTACGGGAAGGGATGTGAATAAACGTTATTAACTACGGGACAAACCATTTTATGATATCCACTGCGCCTCTGGTTTCTAGGGAGGGGGACCCGAAAACCCAAGACCCAACGGATACTGTGCGATTTCAATGAACCCTGAACCTCAAAACGGTTTCATCTCCGGGGCACATCTTTTACTTCCGCCGACCTTTCGCCGCGGAAGAGATGACAACTCCTTCGATCCTCAAAGGCAAGGCCCATTTTGGAATGGAACACACATCTTGCCCGCACAGGGTGGCAATCCGGCCCAGTGGAGGGGGCTGAGGTCCCAAATGGGCCCATGCCACGCACATCTAAAATGCGACGTCGGAGGAGAGAGGGAGGCAGCCGGAAAAGCCTGGGCAAGGCCGTGCACGGCGACAGCAAAACCGAACACCGACCGAACCGACAGCGAAATCGAAACCGACCGAAATCGACAGGCCGCCAACAATCCAGAAAGGCGCCACGACACGGCAACGGCGGCACCATAACCACTCCATAAACGGCCAAACGCAACCGACTGCGACGCGACCGAACCGACCGAACCGTGACCGCTGGGCTTCCCTGGGTAGTAAAAAAGTGTTGCAGCTTCTCCGCCATCCGGTGCGCACAGACAGCCGCAGTGAGATCTATAGTCTGTACTAGCCTCAGCAGGCCCCCGAAGTGGCCCATGGTGGCCTCAACTGCACGGCGCCTTCGTCAGCGGCGTCCCCAGGCTCTCCTCGGAAGGGCTCGATGACACCACGTCGCTTGGCTGGCCCGGCAGCGAAGGAGTTTGGCGAAGCAATTCGGTGTCCAGACGCTCCAGCGTCCCAGCAGTTGGGGCGTCCATGCACCGAGCTCTTTGGCCGACCACACCTCCCACTTCCGCACCCCACGGTTGGGGCCTTGAGGCCGCCATGGGCTATCCCGGGGGGGCATGCTGAGGGCAGCCTCCGGACTGCAGCTCCTGGCCGAGCGCAGCCCGTAGTCCTGCCCAAGGACGAGCTGGACGAGGAGGAGGATGAGGAGGAGGAGGAGGAGGAGGAGGAGGATTGGACATGCGTGACATGCCGTGGCAGGTGTGCTGGCCGCTGTACACCCAGCAACATACGGCGAGGGCACGCTGAAGTGGCCACTGTGTGCTGGATCACGTGCACGTGCGTGTCTTCCTCAGGGCGGTGAGCGCCTTCTCGGGCCTGGCTTCATAGGTATGGCATCTTCTCTCGTGCTCGGTCACGATCTACCTATGCTGTCGGGGCCTGCTGGGCGGCTTCATCTTCGTGGGGTTCGACCTGTTTGCGTCTCTCTTCTGAGGGACTGGGGCTCCGCTCTCAATTGTGGATCACGCCCCCTATGATCGCTCCAGGAGGAGGAGGAGGAGGAGGGAGGAGGAGGAGGAGGAGGAGGGATGAGGAGGAGGAGGAGGGATGAGGAGGAGGAGGAGGAGGACGAGGAGGAGGACGAGGAGGAGGAGGAGGAGGAGGAGGACGAGGAGGATGAGGGGCTGTCAGACCTGGGCGCCGCAGCCCCAATCTGGTCGGCCCGTGGGCCTCTCGAGAGTGAGGCAGGTGCGGCCATAGAGCGCGGTGGTCTGCTCGCCCGCGGCCAGCTTCAGGATCGCGATCCCGCGCGCCTGGGGGCAGCGGGGGGGAAACTCGGGTCGGGCGAAAGGGGGGGATAGCAAAGGGGGGTTTTGAGAATCAGCTCGCGTAGCTGATTTTCCCGGCGCCTCCCGGCGCCGGAGGCGGCTATGTATCGAGGAATGAGCCCCTCGGTGAGGCCGAAACCAGCTGCATGCAGCAAATTTCGTAACCCCCCCTTTCCCAATCCCCCCCTTTCGCCCGACCCGAGAAACGGGAGGGCAGCGGGGAGAGGCCGACGAGGACGGTGACGAAGAGGAGGGGGAGGCGAAGGCGCCGGAGCAGGAGAGCGAGGAGGAGCGTGCCGCTGCTCCACCTGCTCCACTGGCCCTTCCACCTCCCGGACTGGGCCACGGGGCTCTCACCATCGCAGCCTTCCCAGGTGGATCATGTGTAGCTTTAGGTCGGGCATATTCTCCTACAGGCGGATGTCGGAAGAAGAATGTGAAATCGTCAAAACATGATCAAGAATACGGAGAAATACTCCGAAAGCCGTCCCCAGACTATCTTTGACTATTTCCTTGAATATTCCTCCTGTAGAGGGACACGCCCGACATAAGTGTAGCTGTCCATGGGCTGCTCACAATCTCAGCCCTCCGAGGTCGCGAACGTGTGGCAGGGCCATCGGGATCCCACCATCGCAGCGTTCCAAGGCCGCGCACGTGTGGCAGGGCCACGGGGCCGATTTCGCCAGTTCAGCCCCCCAGAACACCAACGTGTAACAGAGGCCATTGCTTCGTCGTGATTTTGTTCGCAGCGTCGGCCCCCTGAAGCCTCGACCCATTCCCCGGGGCGGCTTCTCCGTCCTCCACCTTCTCTTGGCGGTCCCCTGCATGGGGACCGGTGTGGGCCCTCGGGGGCGTAAACGATTGCGAAAAGCGGTCCGTCGTCGTTTCTTCATTCACGACGCGAGGGAATGCACAAAGAGCGACGTAAAAAACGGGTCTTACGCGAGATGGCATAATGACCTTGCGCGGTTGCTGAGGCAGGGCGGACAGCGCGGCACGCCACAGTGGCAACGAGCGCTCTTACGCACGATCCTGCGCGGGCAACTTACGCGCCAAAGTCGGTGAAGACGACCCTTTTTTTCCCGTCGCTCAAATAGACCCCCACACCTCGCCTGGGGTGCGTTCAGAAAAGAATTTGAAGGTGGACCCTCAGAAACCCAGAAAGCCCTTCGAAGTTCAAGATTCGAGATTCGAAGTGGGCGTCTGTCACGACGCGAGGGGGTTTGGCGCATCCTCCTCCTCCTCCTCCTCCTCCTCCTCCTCCTCCTCCTCCTCCTCCCGTCGCTCGCTGGTAGCCTCCTGCCACGTGCACACGCGTCAGCGAGCAAGGGCGCCTGCAGCTCGGCGTGGGTGCAGGTGGCGAGGAGCTCGGAGGTCTCCTCGTCCTCGGCGTCCTTCTCCAGCCCGAGCAGCTCCTCGGCGAAAGGAGGCGACCCACGGCCCCTCGCGACGTGAAAAGTTCGAGCTTCGAATTTCGAGCTTCGGCCTACAAGGCGTTTTGGGCCCCGCTGGGGCTTCTCGTCGCCACGGCTGGATTCCCCATGAGATTCTGGCCAGAACGCACCCCAGGAGAGGTCTGGGGGTCGATTTGCAACCCCGGGACCCAGACCCCAACCCGCGTCGTGAAAGAATACGGCAAACATTTGTGTTGCTACTTTCGGCC